TAAATGTTGCGACAATTTTAGAGGATCCTGCTCCAAAGCCTAATATAGCCTTTATATTAGTTAATTATCATCTGACACTGTGTTGACTGAGAGGAACTTTACTGTATTATATTATCCAGATCAAATATCAACAGGTTCTCTTGATAACAAAATGTACTTTTAAGTCATCCCCATAATTGCTTTATTTATTCCACAGGTGTGAATAAACACTTCCAAATGATGATCATTCATGACAAGCTTAGTTCCTCTCTTAACTGTGAATTATCAACACGAACCATATGGAAGAAACTGGAGACTCTCTACGACTTGGCTGCCTTGGTATGACTGTCTATTTGCCTTATGGTTATGTGTTTCTGTCATTACATATATGGTGAATATTCATGTGGACATAGATGAAAGATATACAATTAGTCAAGAATATTATTTTAGACAAGGTGAAATAAGCAAACTAACTTTTAACAAAATTATTTTCCAGGATGAATCGGATAAGTTACCATTCCCAAATGATGAGAATGATTTTACCCTCCCGGATATAGAGTTTTCAGATCTTTTAGATGAGAGGGTAAAGCCAGATGATAAAGAAGAGAAGGAAAGTAGAGCCAGAGGAAGACCACCAAAGAAAGAAGATAGGGACAAGGATGATGGTTAGTCACCTGTTGTTTTATACTTTTTTATATATTTACCTTTACCTTTTGAGGTAAGGATATTAATCTTCTGTAACAGATTTCTCAGAGGCAACCTTTGCACATCTGTTTATGTACGGGTTAATTTTTATTTTATGTATGAATTACTTCACAAATATGAATAATTTCAAGGAATATAAGTACAGAATATCAAAAAAGATTTACAAATACTCTAAACCTGCTAGATTTAATTTACACACTTGCAAATCTTCCTTTAGTCTCCAGCAGACGAGATAGAGTCCGAGAAGTGCGAGAGGAGGATGACGACACTCCCCGTAGGCAAGGCAAGCGTGGCCGTGACTCTAAACCTTCCTCCCCTGCCCATACTCCAACTTCCAACAAGAGACGCAGAAATTGACTGAAGTTACTTTTAATGGCCTTGGATATTATTTTTTGGTCGTTGGGGATTCAAGAATATCATTGTTCTTGAGAATAAGGAATGTAAGGCATTATGGCAAGATTTTGATAGTGTATAAGCTTAGCATTTTATATTTTTGTGTAATATTTCATGTATGCAAAAAATGTGTATGAAATATGCACAAGAAGGAAGTCACGGTACAATTATAGTAGGTAATCAATCAATGATTTTGTTAATGCCAAAGTATTCATTTTCTTTATATTTTTGTATGTTTGTTTTTAAAGAAATCTGATGTAAATATATATTATAAAATTTGAATGAAATACAGAGGGAATTTTAATTTTCTGTTAGAAATTTTTGAGAGCTGGGATAGGGAGGAGGGGTAATATGATAATTGATATGTAATTTATTTTCTTAAAATATGGTTTAAAAAAAGAAAACTTACTGCAATGCCTTATGAAAAAATGAAAAATATAAGCACTTCACCATGACAGGAATCTGAATTTATACTATGAAAGAAAAATGCCACGTAAACACACTCTTATAATGGATAAATAGCTTGGGAAAATGATATGTTTATATCACTTTTTCTTCGCTCTCTCTTTGCTTACCACATATGAGAGGCTTTTGCATAAAACCTTCCTTGAGGTTTTTCTTGGGAGATGGAATTTTATGTGTATAAATTTAACATGGAGTTATGTATAGTAGTTGATCAATCATTTCATATCATAGCCTTCAGATTCCACGTGAAGTTTGTGATGTTTCAGTGATAGTTAATCATCTCATTTATTTATGCCATCAAAGGTCATGGTTTTGGAAGTAATCATAAAATGAGTTCAGTGTTCTATATGTTTAAAAAGGAAATATAGACATTTTTACCAACCATCTGATGCATATTTTGTTTGACATTGTGCTATGTTTACTTCAGTGGCTTTTTTCACCAATAGTTTACAAAAGTTTATGATCATTAGTGGAAGAAGGAAAATGCCAAAATAATAATTTTGAAAATGGCCTCAGGGTTTGACTGAGATCCTTCATATTTAGCATCTTAATATTAATGTATTGATATTTGCCATTATGAGTCTACTGAAAACAAATAGCACAGGTGCATATGTTCATCATCATCACTGCCGTTTTAGATATAAGTCACTCATTGAACACAGGTTGGTATAAGGTATAAGAAAGATATAGCACTGTCTCTACGTAATGAACATGTTATGTGCCATCCATAATGAGGTGTTAGCATTAGGCCTTAGAATACCTTTGGATTATTAGTAGTACTAATATGCTGGGAAGGAAAAAGGGATTAGACCATTCTTGTTTTCATTCCCAGATAAATTGTTTCATTCCTATGTTTATCAGATATATGTGCTTGACAAATTGTTACAGATAATTTATTTTCTGTATCTTCCCTGATATTATTTACAAGTCATTAGCATTATTAAAATTTCTATAATCAGGTGAATGTTTCTTATCCAGCATATATATTTTTTTCTTCATATAAATTAATTTCTCTTACTATTAAGAGATGGAGACTGAGGCCCAATATAGGGATCACCCCTACTTTGGACATCAGCTCGTGGCTCAACTAATTATGCATGGCCTTTTCTCTTCTTTCTTTCATTTTTCCTTAACTTCCCCAATCCCTTCCTCTGTCCAATTCCTAAAGTGTGAGAACCGTGTTGAAAGGATGAAAGGCTGGTCCACCCCTCATGGGGACCCTGAGGGGTGGGCCTTACTGACTCTGATGCAATATCAGTACAATGCTACTCTATTCCTCCCAGAGGTTGCTGTAAGTTTACCAAGATTACCTTCCGTAGACATGACATACTCCATAAGGTCTATATCGGTGTTGAATCGTACCAAGTCAGATCATAAGATCTCCTTGTCGTTGGTGCCAGAAATGGCATTTTGGCCACCCTGCAAAGCACTCCATGGCTCAATGCCCTCTCTGTGCCTAACCTGGTCATGACTGTGCAAACTGCCCTGCACAATTGTGCACATGTGTGTCGTAGTGGCCCACATAATGTATTTTATTGGAGTTATCCTGCCTACAAATTTGAATCAGAGGTGGCAGTTCTTAGATACAAATTCGGCCTTACTCTACGAGAAGCCAGGCAAGAAGCAAGCCATCGAGGTTTTTTTAACAGACCCTACTCTAATATTATCTAATTCTTTACTCCTCTCCCCTCTACTCAACCTGTTTCTACATCTTTAATAATACTACTTCCTCCTACTCCTCACCTACCCACCTCTACCCCTATCTCCCAATCAAATATTTTTTCCACCAAACAAACTAAACATTCCACCCCATTGTCACCAATAACTAGTTTTTAACTCCTCAATTACCTACCAACTCGTCACCTCCTCTTGAAAAATCCTTCATTCCTCAAACCCCCCTACCCAATTCCCTTCCAGAAACCCTAGAGGACATCCAAAACTTCCTAAGCAAGACCCAAGAAATTCTCTCTCAACCATCCTCCAATACCTCAATCCCCACCTCTACAACCAGAATGTCTGTTGACATCCATCCTCCTCCTACTGATATTCGCCCTACCCCTCTTCCCTCTAACCCTTTCCAACGTACCTCATCATCTCCACCACCCATATCAACCCCCCCCCCAACACTTTCCTTCTCCCCTATCCCTACCACTCCCTCCTGTATACACGTGAATCTCTTTTATCCCAATGCCCTTCCTTAGACCCCGTCTTCCCTCTTGATACTGCTCCTTCACCCATTCCAGATCCCTTACCTCAATCCTCAGATACCTACTCTCCTACTAATAAGACAACCATATCTACCGTTTTCGTCCATTGATTAATCATGTCTTTTCTACAATGGAACATTCGAGGCTTCTGTTCTAACAGACTTAATCTCCGTCATATATCCTCTTAGAACCCAACCATTATCTTTCTTCAGAAAACCTTCCCAACACATCGTCCAATACCGATTCCAAATAATAATTTTGTATTGTCCCCTCACTGTCTCTCTCTATCCTCAATATTCATAAAAAACTCCATATACTAGACCTTTCCAAACCACTATCACTTGCATCATTATCTGTATCTTTCTGTACGACAGGATCACAGTAATTTCAGTTTACTTTTCCCCTTCTCTTCCCATTGACTTTAACGCCTTCAAACCTTTACTTTCTCAACTTCAACCACCTTTCTTCATAATAGGCAATTTCAACTGCCATCATACTATTTGGGGTGATTCCACCACAATCTCCCGTGGTCGATCCCTAGAACACTTCCTCTCCACAACTGATCGCCCCACACGTTTTTACATGCGCACACAATCATTTTCATGCCTTGATCTCTTTCTATGTTCCCCTTTTCTCTATTTAGACTATCATTGGTCAGTTCGAGACCATTGTCCCTACAGCGTTCCGATCCTCTTTTCTCCAACTTCATATATCCCACTTCCTAATCCCCAAAGAGGGTGCCTCGATAGAGCTGATGCTGCGTTCGGAACTGCTCGTCTACCTCGTCCAGACAACTTTTCCAGGACCAGCAGGACGAGATGCGCCGCGTTCGGAACCTCCAAGACCCTTTCTGCCCAGAATGCAACCGACTCGAATGTAATTTTTTTTTTTTTTTTTTATCATACCGGTGTCTTTATTTTACACACTGCAAAGGTTTTGCAACACCTTTGATGCACATTTAACTTACCTGCAACTGACAAACACTAAAATATCCTTTGATAACACCAATTAAGGGTCATAAAATTACCCACCAATATCTTGTGGTTACCTGCAACTGTCAATGTTTACATACAAAATCTATTGTGACGTCATCTCGTCACATGCTCGGCCACTTTCGCAGGAGGGCTAGTTGGACGAGCTCGACTACTTGTCCGGGGCGAGATAGTGGAGGTTCCGAACTGGCAAACTTTTGCTTCACTCGTTACTATACCTCGCCCTCCAACTCCCTTATCATCCATTTCAGATGAACTAAAAGTTTTTTCAACAACAGTCTGAAGAGCTGCCAACACAGCCATTCCCCAAATTTCTAGACTTTATATGTCGGAGTGCGTTCCATGGTGGAACCCAGACTGTATTAAAGCGCTTTATCTAGAACACGCAGCCCCCTAAACATCTGTCCACTCTTATCTCCTTTAAAAGAGCGTCTGCCCACCTTCGATGTACAATTCGAAACAGCAAAACAACTAGCTGGAAAAATGTCTCTTCAATTACACCTACATCTATATCAGCTACCTGGCGACGGATCCACATAATATTAGGCAAACATCCTCCTCATCCAGTCCCAGTCCTCCATATTTGAGATACATACCTGATCCTCTCCAAGTTGCTAATGACCTGGGTGATTATTTCAGCCAAGTTAGTAGCGGCTCTCATCTTTCTCCACACTTCACTTCCAATAGAGCCACCAAAGAACGCACTCCCATCACATTTCCCCTCCTTTGATGAGCTATAGACCCTTTTCTTCCTCAGAAGTACTTACGATCGTGTCACAACATCCATGGCGGCCCTGACGGTATCTACTACCGTATGCTCCGAAATCTCCCATCGTCCTCTAAATATCTACAATAAATGGTAGACAGGAAATTTCCCCCCTCACTGGCGCGAAGTCCTCGTCCTCCCATTCTTAAAACCCAATAAATCGGGTAGTCTTTCACAAGATCCGCCCCATCACTCTATCTGCTTATGCTAGTTACCAGAGCGAATGGTAAACTCGGCTAATGCGGTATTTTGAATCGCACTACCTTCTCTATCCCGTTTAGATTCCCCCGTGCCGAAGCACAGCTGACCCCCTTGCTCATTTCGAGGCATATATTGCATCCGCATATGCACGCCATGATTCCATATTAGCCGTATTCTTTGATCTAGAGAAAGCATATGATACCAAATAGGGGTATCATTTCCTCCAACTGTCCTCTCTAGGCATACGCGGAAACATAGTTCTTTATAAAGTCATTCCTCTCTATATGATTATGATTAGGGCACGCATAGCTCCATAGAAGTCGAGGCATTAGTTCTTTATAAAGTCATTCCTCTCCAAACGTAGCCTTTCAGGTTAAAATTGCTCCTTCCACATCATCATCTTTTCCTCAGATCGAAGGCGTCCCACAAAGCAGTGTTCTGAACACAACCTTATTCGTTACAGCTGTAAATGATCAGTTCTACCACCAGGGACCCTGGTCATCACTTTATGTTGATGACTTAGCCATCTATGCCTCCGTTCCATATTCTCCAATAACTTCAGTCAACAATATCATTAGTATCTTCCTGGGCCACTAATCATAGCTTTCGTTTCTCCACCGCCAAATCCTTTTTTATCTTCCTCACTCAAACCACCACTTTTCTTCTACGGCACTCTGTTCAAATACCGTTCTTCTGGAAAGTTCACTGGAGTAATTTTCGACTCCTAACTGTCCTGGTGAGACCATATCCTTTCCATCAAAGAAAAAGATCACCGTCGTCTCCCAATCTTCCAAACTGTCCCACATATCTCGGGCCTCTCCTCCATCTTCATACAGCCTTCCCCCTAATCCCTTGCCCGTTGTTGCCGTGGGGGGGGGGGGGCTTAGGAGACGAAGACTGAGACCCAATTGAGGGATTTCCCCTGCCTAGGGCCTCAGCCCTCGACTCAACTAATGGTCTTTCCCCCCTCCAGCTTTTTGTTTCCGTCCCTTTTCCAACCCCTTCTACTATCTACTTCCTAAAGTGTAAGAGCCGTGCTGAAAGGATGAAAGGCTGACGTTGTGCCAGTCTTGAACGGTCTGCGGGAACTATGGGCATGGTACTCCCGATATAATTGTCTAGCCCTTACCTTCAAGCGAAAGGAGGTGGACCGTTTATACCACTTTATATAATCAAGGTTCCCCATGACCTGTAATGAAGATGTAATCCCCTTATTAGGGGCAATGAGGCTTGCTCCTTTATCAAATAGCCCCACTCCAGGCTCTCCTTTGACCACGACTCCGAACACTGAAACTACTGCCCACTCCTCAATGCCTACTAGTGCATTACCCACCCAAGCAATCTCCAGAAGATCCTACCCTCCCAACTTCCTCAAATTCATCAACTCTGCCCCTACAACCTTCATCAAGCACCCCATCTTCCCTTATTACTACCTTACAGCCTTATTCTCCATCACTCCGTAATACTCCCTCTTCCACACGTCCCCGACCATCCACCAACCCTACAGATATCTTAAATACTCTGTTTAGCCCAGCTAAATGGGACCGATTTTTCGTGATCCCTTCTACAGCTCCTTACTCAGGCAACACTCTTCTCTTTCAACAATGCCTCCAAAAACAAGTGGGCAGAGTCCCTCTCTATACCAGACGCGATCGCTCCCGTCTTGTAACAGTCAGATCAGAAACTGAATCTAAAGCACTATCAAATTTAACTGATCATTCTGGCAACCCCATTCCTGCAGAACCTCATCCAACCCTTAATACTTGTATCGGAACTGTCTCTCTCTCCCCAG